AACCTCATCCCGCCCCCTTGACCTGTCCGTCCTCCCTGGACTGACCTATCCCCTTCCTAACTCCCTACCTACACTCACCTTTCCTGGCCCCATCCCCGCCTCTTCGACCTGTTTGTTTCCTCTCCACCTATCCTCTCCTCTATCCCTCTTCTATCCGCCTCCCACTCTCTCCCTATTTATTTCAAAACCCCCTTCCCCTCTGATGAAGGGTCTAGGCCCGAAACGTCAGCCTCTCTGCTCCTATGATGCTGCTTGGCCTGCTGTGTTCATCCAGCCCTGCACCTTGTTGTCTCGGATTCTCCAGCATCTGCAGTTCCTACTATCATTAAATGCTGTCTGCTGAGACAGAATGCACAATTAATCATTGTTAGGACTTTTTAAAAATTTGTCAATTATTTTCAAATGCAGTAATAAAATATTCATAAAGACCTCTGACCTGTTAAAAGACTAAATTAGGCACTAACGTTAGGCTACCCAGATTTCTAAATGTCAAAGCCAGGAGCCATTGAAATCCCTTGGTAAGGCAGGGCTCCGTGATGATATGCATGTTGCACTTGCCAACAGCAGGAGATTATGGGAGGAATGTTGGCTGTCATGTGATGACATCTCCCAGAATATGTCCAACCAGAGTTGGCAACCTTGTTAATTTATTGAAGACAGCAGTTACAAATGACAGACTTCCATTTCAGTAATATTTCTGCCCCATTTTCTTAAAACAGCTAAACAAAGGCTTCATTTGTTAGAAGATCCCAGCCTCTATTCTATTCTAATTTTATTATTCAATATGCAAGGATCAAGACCAGTCTCGATTTAAAAACCTTGTATATTTCCATTTGTAGGTAACAAGGTGTAGAGCTGGATGAACACAGCAGGCCAAGCAGCATCAGAGGAGCAGGAAAGCTGACGTTTTGGGTCTGGACCCTTGTTCAGTTCCTACTATCTCTAAAAATGTTAGTAGGATTGTTCTTCAGTGAATTCTAGTAAAGTGTTAGTTTCATTTCAAAGTACGGAGCTATGTTTGTTGGGTAAATGCTTGGAGTTTTGCTGAACCATTTGGATCAACCGGGATCTGTCACCCACACTCCCTCTCTGGTTTGATTGAGTATCTTGGAATATTTTACTATACAGGTACAAGCTGTTGGTGTAATCCCTTTGTGTGTGCCAGTTGAGTATTTTTATTCTTAATTCTGTCATTGTGTTTGTATAGCAGTATCAGTGTTATTTATGTCATTACACACTCGTTTTCCTTTTATATGCAGGCAAACCGAACGAGGACATGGAGCGATCACCGTTCACTAGAGGGCAATGGGCCTCTCAATCCCTGCGAATTACTGCCAAAGAGCTGTCTATAGTTAATAAAAGGGGAACGGCGGCTCTCAGGGAACGTTTTTCTAAGTAAGTATATTAAATAGAGAAGATAAATAGCTTTCTAGGTAGGCAAACGTTGGCTGTCACTGTTCTGCTTGTGTGCCATGTGATGTTTTGCCATTTGACCCTCTTAGGAATCTGTATGTGTTAATACAGATCTGAACCTATAGGTTTAAACTGAAGGGTGCTGTTTTCCCAAATCGCAAATGGTTGAAAACCCTAAACCCAGATTCTCATTGTCATGTGCTTGCACCTCGAATTTTGCACTAAGTTTCCATCAACATGCACAGCTAGAGTTGGCATTGGAAATAGACCATTCGCTGCACTGTTTGGTGAGATGGCAACTTTATGGTCTTTACCCTGTCAAGATGAAGGGAAAAACAGCACAGAAAGGTAACTTTATCATCACTTAGCAGCATTTTCCTGTCCCTGTTGAGCACAGTACTGCATACCATTACCAAGATAATCATCAGATGCTTCCTTTTTGAGCATCTATGGTGCTTGTATTTTTTGACTCCAGTAATTCAGAATGTGTGGCATCTGGGCTCCATGTAATGTGTAGCCTGTTCAGATGTTGAAATGGATTTTGATTATTTTCTTGCAACAAAATTTGGAAACGTATCAATCTCCAAAACATGTGTTGTTTCATGAAGTTGTCATGATATGATCTCTATGAAGACAGTTCATGTTTTAAAAGACATTTGAACACCCAGTGATTTAAATGAAAGAAATTATGCCGCAAAGTTGTGGTTTTAAACAAAAACTTGATACACAAAAATTAAAAACAAGTACCCGAAATGTCAGCCTTCCTGCTCCTATGATGCTGCTTGGCCTGCTGTGTTCATCCAGCTCTACACCTTGTTATCTCAGATTCTCCAGCATCTGCAGTTCCTACTATCTCTCTCCACTACTAATGCAGTACTGTCTTAGGTAATTTCCTTATACTTACTAAGTTGAAAAGCACATTAAACACATACTTTAAGCTAAACTCTTCATCTGAAACTTTCCTTTTTTTACTTTGTTTCTCTCCTCTCCTCTTCTCTTCTCTCCAGAAAGCCTTTGGCTAATTGTCAGGCTCTTGAAGATTCCTGTACTTCCTTGCGACAAACTCCATTTTATCCCACAGTTGTAAGGTCTGGGACTTTACAAATGAACATAGGAGGAGGATAGATCATTCAGCCCTCAAGCCTGCTCTGTCCTAGATCATGGCTGACCTCTATCAATTGTTGATCAATCTTTACCTTGAACATTAATCAACAATGGTTTGAGCTTCCACAGCCCCTTGGAGTAGAGAATTCCAAAGATTCACTACTGCAGGTACAGTCTCACCCAAGTTCTGTGCAACTTAAACAAGATATCTTTTAATCCTGTATTCAAATCATCTTGCAATGAAGGCCAACACATCATCAGCCTTAATAAAGAGAAACTCAGCAGGGCTGGCAGTATTTGTGGAGAGAGAAACAGAATTAATGTTTTCAGTCTAATGTGAATCCTATTCCAAACCTAGTTCTATTGGACATGAAATGTTAACTCTGTTTCTCTTTCCACAGGTGTTGCCAGACCTTCTGAGTTTCTCCAGCATTCTCCTTCTCTCTCTCTCTCTCTCTCTCTCTCTCTCACTCACACACTCACACACTCACACACTCACACACTCACACACTCACACACCCCCGACACACACACACACATGACCCCCACCCCAGATTTCCAGCATCAGCAGTATTTTGCATTATATATCACTTGTTTTCCTAATTGCATGCTGTAATTGCCTTTCAGCTTTCAGTGACTAATGAACAAGGACACCCAAGTCCCTTTAAGCATTAAACTTTGCAATCTCTTGCCATTTGAGAAATATTCTGCACTTTTGTTCCTCTTGTCAAAGTGGATAACCACAAAATATTGTGTTCCACCTGCCATTTTCTTACCCACTCCCTCAGCTTGTCCAAATTTCCTTGAAGCCTCTGCAGTGTTCTCTCAACACTCTCTCTTCCAACTAGTTTAGTGTCATCCACAAAACTTGGAAATATAACATTTTGGTCCTCACAGCGAAATCATTGATGTAGACTTTGAACATATGGAGCCCAAAAAGTGATCATTGTGTCTCCTACTAATCACAGCCTCTAAACCTGAAAATGACTTTTTCTTTCTGTTAACCAATTCCCAATCTGTCCCAGTGCATTACCCTCTGTTGCTTGTGCTCTAATTTTGTTTATTAATCTGTGTGGAACCTTTTTATTGAAATCCTTCTGAAAATCCAAATACACTTCCAGTTCTCATGCTTGATACTTTTTTTTTGAGCTAATAGAATCTTTACCTTTTTGTTTGCCATGGTTGATTCCCTTTGTCTCTTGTAGCTTTTCTTTGTCTTGAAAGGCATGTATGTTTGTTGCAAACCATGTGCAAATTCTTTTAAATACAAACCATTGCTTGTCTTATTAACATAACCATTTTGATATATTTTTCCAATCTTCCGTGACAACTTGTCCTTAGTAGTTTCCTTTTCTTCAGATTTAAGACCGCAGTTTTGGATTGAACTATGTTGGTTTCAAATCTAATGGAAAATTCCAGCATGTTTATTATGGTCAATCTTGTCTCTAAAGGTTCTTTTTATAATAAGATTATTAATTGACTCTTTCTCACTGCATAATACTAGATCTAAAATAGCTCGTTCCCAGTTAGTTGCTCAACATACTGCTCCAGAAAACCATCTCTTACTATTTGTTCCTAGAATTCATGTTCATAAGACTTGCCAGTCTAGATGTAGGATTACTGAATTACCCTGGTTACATGCACCTCTATTTTTCTCATTTATACTGTGCCCCACACTTTTTATAGGCCACCAAACAATAATGGTGAACAACTCCAACCAATGTTTTATGTTTGCTGCCTTTTGCTGTTTCTTTGCCACATCCAAACAGATTCTGCATCATCATCTTCCAATCTAATATCTTGCTAATACATCGATCCATCCCTTATGATCAGTACTACCCTACTTCATCTCCTTTTTCCTTTTTTTGCTGGTCCTTCCTAAATGCTGAATATCCTTGAATATTCAGTTCCCAGCTTTGGTCACCCTTCAGCCTTGTCTTTGTAATGGCAACTATGTCATACCCGTTTACTGATTTGTGCTGTCAATTCGGTTACCTTGTAAACACTGCATGCATTCAGATTGAGTACCAGTTTCATTCTGCCTTTTTAATATTGTGTATTTTGACTGATTGCATGTTTGTTTGTCTTTTCTACTTCCAGGACCAGCTTTTTTCTGTCCCTATCTGAATTCCCTCTCCGGTTCTCATCCTTGACAAGCTATTTTAAGCACTCCCCTCCTCAGGAGCACTAACAAACCTTCTTGTGAGAATCTTTAGTCCCAGTACCACTAAGGTGTAACCTGTCCTCCATTTACAGGCCCTGCCCCATTTGTCTTATAACCAGTCCTAATATTCAAGAATTCATAAGAGCTTTCTTGTATACCATTTCTCCATCATGTGTTCATTTGTTTAATCTTATTATTTCTGTACTCACTAGTGTGTAGTATTAGGAGTAATCCTAATTTGCCTTCAAGACCTCCGCTCTTTTTCTATTTGTGTTTAACCCTCAAAGTTCCCTCGTTCTCATGGTTCATGTCCAGCCACGCTCAATAACAAGCTGTTGTCATTGTGCTGCTGACTCCTGCTTAAGCTTGAGACTGATTCACAATCCTATATAATGACTTCTTTTTTAAAAAATAGAAACTAATATCCTACTTTCAAAACAACCCCTTTTGGTTTTGTACCCGTTACAAATAATTTATATCTCTAATGGAGCTTATAGCCCTTTTTCCAGATTTGCTGATCCCACAGTGGAATTCCTTTTTGTTTACCAATGCCTTTTAGCCTATTTTTGATAAGTGTCAACCTTTTGGTTGTTTTGCCAATTTGAGAGGGATCATGCTTTGTTTAAGTGTTCTCGCTTCCGATCTTGACCTCATTAAATAAACACTAAAATATAATTATTCTAGGTTTGTTTATCACCTCCTCTACCAAATATTTCTATTTTAACACCTTAGGCATTAAAGTTTTACATGCAATTTAGTCTACAAGTTACATTTCTAAAATTGCAAGTTTAACTGTAGACAGATGAATTATGAAATTAGATGTTAAGAATCAACAGGAATACTGAGGGCTTTTGAGAGGGGACAAAAATGAAAAAGTAAATAAAAGG